CTATTTTTAATAAAGAGTATGCCAGCCCATAGGAGTATGAACTTTCTTTTTCTAAAAATATTAGTAGTAGCATTAATTTTGGTCTCCAAAAGAGCCTATATTTCTAAAATATCACACAGAATAAATGTAGCACAGTCACTTACCACTTGACCTATTTTTGCGACTTGATTTCCCACCAGTAAGAAGCATCTTGAGGCTATTCCGAAACATGATTGTGCTACTGTAGTACAAGACTGTAAAAGAAAATATAGGAAAATACATTTAAAACACTTGATTTTTCTACTTATATTAACTCTAAGAATTAACTCTAAAAGCATATAACAATTAACTCTGTTTAAATATATAGTACAGAGCGCCGGTGTGGTGGTGCACACCTGTAATCCCAGCACTCGGGAGGCTGAGGCAGGAGGATTGTTGCAAGTTCAAGGCCAGCATGAGCTACAAAGTGAGCTCAAGGCCAGCCTGAACTGCATAGTGAGATCCTGTCTCAAAAAAGACCAAAAATAAATAAATAAGAATAAATAAATAAATAAGTAGTACAAAACTGTAATTATATATGACCCTGTACACACAAAAAAGTTTATGAAACATTTAAATAGTCCCTTAAAATACACTATAGCCCAAAATGGTGAGGCGTGCCTATAATCCCAGCTACTCAGGAGGCTGAGGCAGGTTGGGGCCAGCCTAAGCAACATGGCAAGACTTCATCTTAAAAAAAAAAGTTAAAGGTCAATATCATTGAAGATATAGAAATAATTTTTAAAACTCATTAGGGTAGCTATAAATACAGTTTATTTTCCCTTGACTCTCCATTTCTGGGACAATTTTTCACACTGGTCTGTCCCTCTTACCCCCATCTTTCACTTACACATATAATCAAATCTCTCAATCAGTATCTCTCCCCCCTCAGGTTACAATACCTGTAGATTACTCTGTTGGCAGGCTAGTGGAAGTTACATTTCACAAGACTACTGATATACATGAGTCAATGTCTGTAGTCTCTGCATTCTATACCTATCAAAGGAAAATTCTTCCAATTGTCTGCAAAACATCTCTCACCCTCTAAAGAACTTTTACTGTATTTTCAACATATTTTAGTGTGTCCTATCCAGAAATAAATTCCAACTCTATATTCCCCCAATGACTGCTCCAACAGTTGGTCCTATATCCTTGCTCTTCACAATTCCTGAAAGTATTATCAATACTTGAAGTGCCCAGCAGACTGCATAAAGCAAACATGAAGTAGAACACAGGCCAAAAGATAATACCTAAACCAACCAAAGCACAGAAAATAAAGGTTTAAAATATACAGGAGAGTATTAGTAGTATATGGAACCCACTAAAAAGTATATGTATATGTGTGTGTGTGTATATATATATATGTGTGTCTGTATATGTATGTGTGTGTATATTATTTTTTTCCACAACTAAGAAAATTAGGAAGAATCAAAGTGATAAAAACTAAGAATTTTCTAACAATGAGCTATAAAGCCACTCTTTATGAAGCCTATAAAACACAAGAATATAAACATAGCCAAACTACTAAAAAATAAAGTCCCAAAAATAATCTCTAAAACTGCTAGATGAAAAACTTAAACACATTTAAAGTAGCAACAAACAACATATGACTTTCATTAGAAGGGACAAATAGTAGAATACAATGGAATGACTTCTCCAAAATTCTGAAAGAAAATAGGTGCCAATCAGGAAATCTATTCTTGGATTTCTTTTTTAAATTCTTGAAAAATAAAAATGAAATGTAAGTAATTTCAGATGCAAAAACAAAGAATTTAATACTAAAAGAAATAAGAAAATGAAGGGCTTTGAACAGAAAGAAAGTGATACTTTAACTTTTTTGTTTGTTTCTTGGTTTTCTGATACAAGGTCTCTCTATGTAGTTCTGCCTGCCCCTGAATTCATTATACAGTCCAGGCTGGTCTCGAACTTGAAGTTATCTTCCTGCCTCAGCCTCCCCCATACTGGGATTATAGGCCTGTGCCATCACACCTGGCTATTTTTAAAGTATATGTAGACTTAAAAATGGTAACACCATCCACAAGGCAGAAGTAAATAGAATTAAAGTTTCTAAAATATCTTTTGTCTAGAAATAACAGAAGCTAGAATTTATGTTAGACTTCAATAACTCAAAAACCCATGTAACCAATATCTAAAAGAAACACTAATATTAACTGAAAAGAAAAATAATTTAAAATTTGACAGCCAAAGAAGTAAGACAGAGAAAAAAGAACAACATGGTACAACTGGATAAACTATAAAGCAAACAGTAAGATGGTAAATTCAAACTCAAATTATATCCATTATTATGTTAAATATAGTAACACTACAAATAGGCAAAGAAAGAATAATTATAAAACAATGGGAAAAGATATGCCATGCATAGCCCAACTATAGTAAAAGGAAGCTAGCACAGTTATATCAATATCAGGTGAGTTCAACTGAAGGCAGTCAGCATTATCAAAGAAAGGGATTGGAGGTGCAGTTGAGAGAGTGTGCATGGCACTGGGTTCAACACCCTAATTCTACTCTTTTTTTTTCCCCCCGGTACCGGGAATCAAACTCACAACCTTGCGACTGCCAGGCAGGCGCTGTGCCACTGAGCTAAATCCCCAGGCCCAATACCCTAATTCTAAATCTGAATGCTCAAACAAAATTACAACAACCAAGTAAGAGAATTTAAAAGTAGGTAATGCAAAAATGTGAAGATTAAATGGCGACAGAGAAATCTACAAGACTAACACCCTGTTGTCAACAGTTACAATATCAAGCAGGGAAAAAAAGACTTGAACTATACATTAACCAACTGCACATATACACATGCATACATAAAATGCTCTTACAAATAGAATATATCAACTATACACAAAACACGTAACAAAATAAACAATATTTGGGCCCATAAAACAAATCTCAACGAATTTCAAAAATCTGAAGTATTTCTTACTATATTCTGTGACCACAATGCAATTAAGTTAGAAGTCAATAATTCTTTTTACATCCAGGAAATCCCTATGAATTGATGAGGACAGAAATAAGTAAATAAATGGTAATGGAAATTTTAAACGATTTGTAATGAATGAAAATTTTAAAGTGACATATAGAAACTCATACGATAGAACTGAAGCTATGATTGTAACTGAATTTATTCCTTAAATGTATTAGAGGTGAAGGATGATATTCAATATCTAAGCTTCTATTTCAAAAATTTCAAAAACAAGAGGAAAATGAAATTCAAAGGAAGCAAAAGGAAGGAAAGTGTAAGCACAAATGAAACAGAAAACAAATGCAAAGCATAAAATAATGAAAATGCTAAACCATTAACAAGGCTAATAAAAAAGAAGCCAGTACAATGGCACACACCTATAATCCCAGAACTCTGGGAAGCTGAAGCAGAAAGATCACAAAGGATAATTTAGGAAGACCTTGAAGAGGGGGCAGAAAAGGGGATGGGGGGAGGGAGGTAGAGGGAGGGAGAGAAAGGGAGAGAGAAAGGGAGAGAAGAAGGGCAGTGAGAGAGAGAGAGAGGGAGGGAGAAGGCTGGGAGGAGGAGGGGAAGAAAGGGAGAAGGAGGGGAGGGGAGGGGACAGGAAAAGTGGGGTGGGCTGGGGACGTAGCTCAGTGTGAAGGCCTTGAATTCAATCTGAGGAAGGTCCAGGAGAAAAGGGAGAGAAGAGGGAGGAAGAGGAGGAAAGGGGGAGGACAGGAAGAGGAGGAAAGGGGAAGAGGGGAAGAAAGGAGAGGAAAGAAAAATGAGGGAGAGAAAGAAACTGGGGAAGGAAAAGCAAGGCAAAGACAGGGAGGGGAGGAAGGAGAGGAGGATGAAAAGGAGAATAAAGAGGAGGAAGAGGAAAAAGAATTAGAAACCAGTATCAGAAATTAAATAGGGAACATCATTTTAGATCTTAAGACTTTAAAAAATAAGTTATTTTGAATAAATTTAGCATTTCATATAAATTGGACAAATTCTTTGAAAATATAACTTACCAAAGTTGATGTGAGGTCAAACAAAATTTTTGAAATAACCCTGTCTCTAGTAAAGAAACTGAATTTATCAAACTCTTTTCCCACAAAGACAGCTAAAGGATTATACTGCTGGTGAATCATACTGTTGGTAAATAGTGAATTACACCAAGTTCTAAGGAACAAATAACAGTTTTATAAATATTCTTTAATAAAATATGAAAGAAGACTTTATAACACACTTCATGAGGGCAGCACGGCATTACTCCCAATACCTAAGACATAAGAAAACTGTAAGTCAGTATTATTAGTGAACACAAATGTTTTTTAAAATACTTCACAAAAGACTAAAAATTACACAGTGTCATGATGGCACACATCTGTAATCCTAGCACTCAGAATAATCACAAGTTTGAGCCCAGCCTGAGCAAATTAGCAATTTAGCAAGAACCTATCTCAAACTAGAAAATGAAAAAGGGGTGGAAATGTAGCTCAGTTCAAAAGCCCTTTGTTCAATCCCAGGTTCTGTATGAATGAATGAATAAATGAATGAACGGATAAATAAGCAGAGATAGATCGTGTTCATGGATTGAAACGATTGTTAAAATGTCAATTCTCAAATTGTTCTAAAAATACAGCACAATGTCAAACAAATTCTAACAGGTTTCGAGGCAACTCACTTTCCGGGCCCCCTTCTATCCCTCTCAGACAGATGCTATCTTTCTCTCAATAAATTCATCCAACTCTTAACCTCAGCTGTTCCTAGAATTCATTCCTCAAGTTTAGAAAACATGAACTCAGTGCTTAGGACATCTACCAGGTTGGGAACTTCATTCCCCTGTATTATTTGGAGGTCTTCCCCTGAGATAACTGGACAGAGACATGGAGGGCTCAATGTCGAAGTCTCTTACTCTTCTGGGGTGCATTCTTAAGCACTGGAAGATGTTCAACCATTATGTGTTCAAAAAGGGTTAGATGTTTTTCTGCATACACACGTCCTACCTTCCCTAGAGCTGAAATGAAATGCAGAGATTCCCAGTTTCCTTTTGCTTTTGAAAATTCTCATAACCAAGCCTCTCAACTGACCTGGACAGTGCTTCCCCAAGGATTCAGAGATAGTCCACATCTTTTTGGATCACCTTAGGAAGAACCATACACCATGATCCTGTCAACTCCATCACCTAGCAAGGTAGCAGACATGGACTCCTGGACACACCAGACCCAGCTCAAGTCCTGGGAACCAGAGAATGTT